TTACCACCATGGCAAGTAGAGCTGTTCTGATGCTTAGAACATTTGCCTGAGCTAAAATTCCAGAAGCATATGATCCCAGTGTCAGTTCCCCTGCCTTAGCAGATTGAACTCAAAGGAACTGATAGATTATGAAATGATCTTTGGCAATAATATCATGGAAGGGGTTAGAATGAGTGCATATTTCATGGCTCAACTTTGCAGGCCAGGACTGAAGAAAAATGTAATAGCAAGCAAGTAATTAGGTGAATTAAGCAACAAATAAATTAAGCACTTGTGAGTAGGTGGAGGAATTGTCAAGAACCTTGGTCATGAGCCAAGGATGGGTTCGTAGGGGACTAAATCCTTAGCACCATCTTAAATTTTTCAAATTAAAGGAGAAAGACACTCAGGGTAAATTTTCTAAAATACTTTCAACCTTAAATCCAAGTATGTTTTTTCTCAAGCAAGCTTGTCTTATATTCTAGAATTCAATGGTAATTTTCCAAAAACTATGTTAATATGGAACCCAAAACATAAAATATTCATTATTGGTTATACTTATCAAGGCAGGAAACATATTGAGTCATTTATATACTATAGCTTGTCCAGATATTCCAATGAGCACAATACAAGGTAAGTTAAATATTTGCCTGCAATGATAACATGAAGTATTCTTGTCAAGGTTTACAAAGTCAGTTTAAGGAATTTATAATTCAGTGATTATCAAGCAGTATACCTTTCTTTCTGCCTCCTGCTGAATGCAATTAAAAATAATGTATAAAATAAACCTAAAAAGTTTCTGAATGGTGGAAAGAAGACAAAAAGCATGTATAAAGACCTCAGGACGAAAAGCAGAATATGATGCAGAGTTCCCTGGATTTTCTTTTTAACCTCATATGTACTAGTCACATTTCCAAAAGACCAATAACCCAGAGGCCAACTGGCATAGACAAATTAAAAGAAAATACTGTTAGAAACCTGATCTTTCCCACCACAGGATGGGAAAAAGATCCACAGAGAGAGACCGGATATTTTTAGACAATAATTGTCGTACTCAAGCTAAGTACCTTATTAAAACTGTGACCTACTTCCACTTCACTACACTGTCCAACCTCTGGCCATGGTGGTATCAGAGAAGACCAATATGGAAATGCCTGATAATAATAGGGATTACAGGGGAATTCTGGACATCTACTCCACTCAGTAGTAATGAGAGGCCTCATTTATTTCTTGCAGAAATGCTATCAAGATGGCTTAGTGGAAAATCAGGACTTTTAGCATAGTTCAGTGACAACCAGGCTACCCCTACCCCCACTAAACACACACACTATAGTGATCCCAGAGGTCACATGGGAGACAGTAATGTAGTTTTCCTACCCATTTTAGCCAGAGAGGTATCAGGAAAACCTAATGGAAAGCTAGAACTCTCACATACCTCATAGTAAAAAGTAGATTTTCTACTCTCAAATGTTGATACAGGCTAAAAGGGTAATCAGGATTTCTATCCCAGTCTAGTATTATTGAGGTAAAACATTTCTACCTATTACTTGGACAGAATAAGAGGAAGATATTGAAAATGGAAGGTTTAACTCAAATTCATCATAGCATATTTCTTAAAATACCAGGTTTCCTTAAAAATATTTTGTTATACCAACAAACAAAAGGCCTAAATTGAATCAAAAATAAAATAAATACAGACAATGAATTGACAGAAATATTAGAACTTTATAACAAATATTTAAAAACAGATTGTAAAATAAAAATGTGTCAAAAAACAATTACACATTTGAGATGAGTAAAAAAGAACTCTGTAATAGAAAGTCTTAACAAGCAATAGAGGGTAGAAAGAAGAATCAAATGAAAATTTTAGAATTGAAAGATGTCAGACATAACAAATGAATAGATGAATAAAATGAAAGTTAGAAGAATAAGAGAAAACAGTAGCAACCTTGATATATAACAACAGAACAGTGTATAAAATAAACTAAAATGACTTGAGGGATTAGAACAAAGGATCTAGGATTCATGTTGAGGAAGTGCAGGAAGAGGATGACAGAGAAGCAGGGCTACAAAGTACTTAAATAAACAATGACAAGAAACTCTCTGAACTTGGTGAATGACATAAGCCCATACGTTCAAGAAACTTAGGATAGGAGCCAAGGACATGGATCAAGTGGTAGAACACTTGCTTAGTAAGAGTGAGGCCCTGTGTTCCTGAATGCATACCCCAAAACTGCCAAAACAATAATAGTAAGATACTGAGCAGAAACCAAACAGGATATGCCCAAAGAAATCCATACCATGACACATCACAAATGTGTAAAATTAAGAAAAAAATTTTGTATCTCTAGGAGAGAAATAACACATTATCTGCAAGAGAAAAGCAACTGTAGTGACTGTTTGTAACTGAGATCAGAAAGAAGTAGCTCAATATTTTATTATATTTATTTTTGTTGTGACTGGTGCTTGAATTCAGGGCATTCAGCTTGCATGGCAGATGCTCTAACACTTGAACCATTCCCATTGTCCCTTTTTGCTTAAGAGATTTTTTTTTGAATAGGGCATTGATGCTTGGGCTGACCTGGACCACCACCCTTCTGTATATGATTTCGGCTTAGCTGGCACCCAGTATTGCACACAGCTTTGAATTGGGTGAGATGGGCTCTAATGAACTTTCTGCCTATCCTGGCTTAAAACCATGAAACTCCTGATCTCCATCTCCCCAGTATGTAGGCTTATAGGTGTGAGTCACCACACCCAGCCATGGCCCATATTTTTCAAGAGCTGAAAGAAAAGAACTGTCAACCTGCAATCTTATAACTGGGGAAAACATCTTTCAAGAACATAGACACCAAAACACTATTAGATAAAGAAAATTAAAGAATTTGACATCTTCACATGTACTGTAAAAGAATGGTTAAGTAAAATAATTCAAATTCAAAGGAAAGATAAAAAGAAGAGATGTAGGAAAATCAGAAATTTAAAAAGACAATAGTAAGCAAAAACACAAATAAATAACATAAATTTCCTCCTCCTCTTGAATTTTCTGAATTACGTTTGACAGTTGAAGCAAAAATAAAATTGATATTTTGTCAAATACATAAAAATGAAGTATCAATTAAGATAACTATTAAAAATCAGGGAAAATGAATGGACTTAAAAGGAAATAGTTTTCTACATTTGACTCAAACTGGTAAAATGGTGAAATCAGTAAGTTATGAGAAGTTATGTATGTATAATACAACATCTAAGAAGCCACTAAATAAAGTTATACAAAGATACACACACTAGATAAATAAAAATTAAATTCTAAAAATCTATCAAGAAACAGATAAGAAAATAGAAAAGAGATGAATGAGATAAAAAAAGAAAGACAAAATGGGATTTAAGTCCTAACACACCATTAATTACATTAAATATAAATGACCTAAACACACCAATTAAAACTTTTGAAAAAGTAAATTAAAAAACAAACAAACAAACATGGCCCTACTATTTACAGTCCACAAGAAACTCAATTCAAATATAATGATAAGTAAGTTAAAAGCAAAAGTATGGACATGCTATATCCATACATATAGTGTATTGCATACACTACAGCACACATGGCCTCTTTAATATCAGATAAAATAGAACTTAGAGCAAAGAAAATCACCAGAGAAAGAGGTTATTATTACATAAACTTTAAAGGAGTAATCCATAAGGAACAAACAGTAGTACTGAACAGAGCTGCAAACTGTATAGTTTCATTTGTTTAAAATGTCCTATTTTTTTTCCTTGTTGAAATATTTTATTGAAATAAATACTCAAGTAAAAGAGGCATTATAATAGTTAGCAATAAGAACTTTTAGACAGTAGGAAGAGAAAGGCCATTTTTATATTTTAGAGGCATTGTTCTTGAACACAAATGTGTGATTACTTCCCAAATCTCCAAAACTCACAATTAGCACTGTAAGCTTTTGCTCAAATGTGTGCATTTCATCAGTGGTGTAGATGCTGCACTAAAGACATTTAGCAATTTTTACCAATAAGAATTCTTTTTTTTAATTGTTTTATTATTCATATGTGCATACAAGGCTTGGGTCAATTCTCCTCCCTGCCCCCACCCCCTCCCTTACCACCCACTCAGCCCCTCCCTCTCCCCGCCACCCCCTCAATACCCAGCAGAAACTATTTTGCCCTTATCTCCAATTTTGTAAAAGAGAGAATATAAGCAATAAAAGGAAGGAACAAGTGTTTTTGCTGGTTGAGATAAGGATAGCTATACAGGGAGTTGACTCACATTAATTTTCTATGCGTGTGTGTTACCTTCTAGGTTAATTCTTTTTGATCTAACCTTTTCTCTAGTTCCTGGTCCCCTTTTCCTATTGGCCTCAGTTGCTTTTAAGGTATCTGCTTTAGTTTCTCTGCTTTAAGGGCAACAAATGCTAGCTAATTTTTTAGGTGTCTTACCTATCCTTACCCCTCCCTTGAGTGCTCTCACTTTTATCATGTACTCAAAGTCCAACCCCCATGTTGTGTTTGCCCTTGATCTAATGTCCACATATAAGGGAGAACATACGATTTTTGGTCTTTTGGGCCAGGCTAACCTCACTCAGAATGATGTTCTCCAATTCCATCCATAAAATGCCCTATTTTTAATATCAATAATAATTAGGCAAATATGTAACTCCCATGCTATAGAATTTAGTAAAATATTTGTTGCTCTTCTTGCATTTCCTTGAAACAATAAAAAATTATGTTAACTGGTGTAGACTGCAAAGCTGGAAAGTTGCTCACAGCTAGGAAAATGGAATTTTCTGCACATTTCTAAGAGTCTGTTTTTTCCCAGAGACACAATTCAACTGACTCAGTTTCTGCAGGTCCTCTTGCTCACTAGTGTCAACAAGGAGCCTGATGAGAGCTCTAAGAGTATAAGGTAAATAAACTGTGAAGAGGTGCAGGGGTAATTTACTGAAAGCAAAACTTACCCAAAGTGGCAGAAAACATCAATACAAAAGAAAGATGTGTTCACTTACCACAGTATAAATCTGATGCTTTCGTCTTTTAGCCAGGTCAATTATGTTTACTCCATTGTAGTAAAGGTTTTCAATACATCCATGGAAGTTTTTCTTTAAAAAGGTCCCAGGTTTGCCTGGTACTGGAATTCCTCCAAAACTTAGCTTTATGGTGGGAAAAATAAAAATCCACTCTTAGTAATAAGCTCTCAGTGAGTAGGACAGGAAAAGAAAGAAGTACATTTCAGTAGATTCAATTGTGTACATGAGCCAAGTGGCTCAAATAATTATAGATACTACTTGATTATACACATTTAAAAGGATACTGATTAGCCCATATAAAAATAACTGTAATTGCTTGCTTGTTAAGGACTTATTTTACAAACAATTTTCACAACTTTTAAAATCTTAAATAAAGGGAAAGTTTACAGAGAGAGAAGAAAGAGAAAAGAAAATCAACATCTTTGTATTTATATCTTAAAAGAGCATTTTAAGAGAGTATGTGTATGTGATAGCCAAGGAATAAGCAAAACATATTCTTGTCTGGTTAGAGAGAAACTTAGTTTAAAAGTCTATGAAGAAGGTTGTTTCCAAACTGTTAGTAAGATGAAAAATGGGAAATAATGTGGATGTCCCATAATTTTGTATAGTAAATAAGAATTGATGTAGTGGAATCTTACTTAGTTGAGAATAATGACAGTCATTAAACATTTGGGATTAAATGGGAAATATGTGATGCTGATTGAAAAGTGCTACAGTTATAATGGGTTGTGAAGTATCATGTCAGTGATAAATCTTGTCAGTTGTGCATAGAATGTAGGCTGAGAGGAAACACACACATGTTTCTGGGAAAGTTATGAAATGCTAGTTTTCTATTTTTATTTCCAATAAGTATTAATACAAATTATTTCTAATGGATATACTATTTAAAAACCAAAACCTATCTATTATGAATACTTTTCCAAATATGTGAGAAAAGCAGAATCATTTCTATAACCATATTTATCCCACCACTATTTAATGTATGACCCAGGTTTTTTCCATTGCTTTGAAATGTCACCTCATCTTGTACTTACGTTATGTCTCTATTTGGATCTCTCTCCATTTCTCTCTCTCGCTCACTCCCCTCTCTCTCTCTCTCTCTCCCCCTCTCTCAATCACACACATGCACTGTTAAAAGAGGGTATGTTCTCCCAATCAGAATGTCTTCCCCTTGTGTAAATAGCTAGTGATACACCAAGGGTAGCATTTAGATAAGAAAAGTCACAATAGAAAATGGTCCCAGGACTGCTTCTTTCATAAGGACCTGGTGACTCTAGCATAGTGTGCTAAGGGTTCTCAGGCCTATGAGTGTAGGAAAGGGAATATAAGTTTCCTGAGGCTCTCAGTAATTGAGAGTAACAAGATTGTGAGTTCTGGAAGACTCTAAGGGAATATATCTCATCGTCACAGGCCATGGCAGGCACCATACACAGCAGAAGCTAACATATAATGGGACAAATAGTTGGCATGCCTTTCCTGAGGTGAGACAATACAAAAACCATCCAGCTTGTGATCTGTTCAGGGAAAAGGAAAAAAGGAGAAGGATGTTGAAGATTCACTATCAGGCTTAGATTTTTCTGACATCAAGATATATAAAGGGTGGTGAGGATATTGAATCCAGTTAGGGAGAAGCAGCAAAATTGCGTTTAAGTAAATCTCAGAATTTAAGTAAATTTTCTACCTGATTGTTGCTTTTTGATTTTTCAAGATGAGAATTTGAAGTTACAATTGTACAATGAAAATTATAGATTTAGTCCATTAACAGATGCTAGATCATTTACATTTATTTTATATGATTGATCAAATTTTTTATAATACAATTGAAAATCTTGCTTGAGTTGTGTTTCTGTCCATCCAGCCACCCATATAAGAGTCACTGCTGTATATGGCCTGAACTGGCCAATTATTGGAATTTTTGTATGCGAAGCTGAATATTGATCATTCTGTTCTGCTAAGAGCAAGGCTCTGATTTCCTCCATCCCACGTTCTCAACCTTGACTTCTCTTTTGGCACTGTCCCTTCATGTCCTCATTTAGCTGTACAACTGTGTAGCCAACAACTTTCCCATAACATTGACTCCAGGGCCTCTGTATCCCAGAACTGCCAAGTCAGAGCAAGGCAGCATTAACCAATGGCTATAGAGTAAAAAATTCACAGTTTTAAATGTACTTTAATTTATTGATATTTTATGTGATTCACACATGTAGTTAGAATAGGTACTTTTAATTATGACCATAGTAATAATTTTACAAACGCCTTTTGATCTTAACTTGTATTGTAAAAGTTACTAATTTTTCTACTTCTGTAATCCTGTGTGAATTTAATTAGCATTTTTTGTCCCCAATTGGAACTATTTAAAAAAATTTCAATTTTCCCTCACTGATTTCATTATTGAGAATGTTGATGCAGTCGTGTTGTCTCATTGAGACTTTGGCAGCTTTCATTTTGTGACAATACTAATGACACTGAACAGAGATTACTTTCAAGGACAGAGTCTTTGAAAGAGTATGAAGCAGACCAAAGGTCTTCTGTATATAGAAGACAATGATGAGAACCCAGTTTGCATTAGATTGTATTTTCATCCATTGATTGGCAACTTACAGTTGTCATAGACTTTCCAAACAAAATCTGACTCATCCAAGGAGCTATTTTTGGTTAACGTTAATCAAAAATTTTTATTCTAAGTATAGCATTAGCAACTCTCAGAAACACTTGTGAAAATTAATTTAAGATTTTTGTTGCATTTTAATTCATTAAGTAGTTGTTGAGCCCCTGTTTTCTGTGAGGGCTTAATGAAGTCTCTGTGTTAGCATTAAAAGTAAACCTTGCAGTATGGGCAGGGTTATAGACAAATCCATCCTCCAACAGACTGATGGAAGGCAAAGTATGGGAAGAACAATGCAAAAGACCCACTCTTCCATATAAGCAAAGAAAGTGGAGACACTTTGGAAATAACTGGAGAAAGTCACCATTGAATTGGAGTTGTAAGAATAATAATTTTGAATCATACTTTTAGGAAGATAAATATTACAGAAAACTATCTGAAGAAAAGTATGATAGTCAATATAAAGGATATTCCCTGCACTCCAGAAAATAAGATAAGTGGCTTGATAGTACCTATACTACTGACTGAAAGAATAAGAAACCATAGTGTTCTAAATTATAAATAAAATTATCAGTATAAGTTGGAGCTGTGGGACAAGATCTTTGAAAGCTAAGCTGAGAGAAATTGGGAGTTACGGTAGGATTTTCGGCAGGAAAATAACAAAAATCTTTAGTAAGATATGATAGATTACATTGGTAGGACAAAGGTTGGATTTAAGAGGCTTATTTCAATGTCTGCTGGAGGGAACAGAAGCCTAATGTATGCAGCATGGTTGTTATAGGTAAGGGAACCTTATACCCTGAGTCAATTCTCCCCCAATAACATTATACACACTCGCTTGTGTCCTTAAGTCTCTGCTGAAATGTAAATATCTTGATGATGTCTTCCCTCACTGAGTATCTAAAATTACAGCTTGCTCCTTCTGTTAAGCCCATGACCTTGATCTAATTTTCTTCTTCTTACTATAGTTTTTGTCATCTTACTTACTATATAAGTTACATATTATATACCATATTGTGTATTGCTTATAGTTTAATCTCTTCTGCTAGAATGCAAACACCATCAGGGTAGGAATCTTTCTCTGTTCTTTTCATTGACATATTTCAAGTACTTAAAAGAAGTGCCTGATACACAAGAGATAGGCTCTTACTTTGTGCCCATATTGGCCTGGGCCATGAGCCTCCTACTCGGGTTTCATGGGATAGCTGGGAAGACAAGCACCAGGTTGGTCACCAGGACCCAACTATTTGTTGTGATAGGGTTGTGTGAACTGTTTGCCCAAGCTGGCTTCTAACCACTCTCCTCCTGATCTCCACCCTCCAAGTAACTAGGATTATAGGCTTGAGTAGCTATGCCCAGCTATAGTTTGGATCTTGAATGTTCCCAAAAAAGGCCATGTGCTAAAGGCTTTATCCTCAGGGTGGCACTACTGGGGTGTTGTGGAGCCTTTAAGATGTAGGGGATAGTGGGAGGCATTTAGGTCATTGAGTGTGTGACCTTGAAGGGAGTAGTAGGATCTCAGCTCTTTCTTCTTCCTCTTTCCCTCACTCCCTGAGTGTGAAGTGATCAGTTCTACCTCAGCACATGCTTCTGCCATGGTGTCCTATCACAGACCCAAAGCAAGGGGTCCAACTGATCATGAGTTGAAAGCACAAAAATTCTAAGCAAAAAATAACCTTTTTCTCTGTTGTCTTGTGTATCTGTTATAGTAATAGAAAGCTGACTACCACAAATATTTTGAAATATCTCTAGAAAAGTTTCTCAAAAACACATATAATATCATACTCATTTTTGATTATGTAATTCTAATAGGTATAATTCAGACATAATAGATACAACAAATACATGTTGAACTGGATCAAAAAAGAGTATAAGGATTTTACTTCTTAATCTTCTTTTGCCTTATTGTGCTTTTTGATATTCTGTTTCTTTTCTTCCCTTGTTTGCTTAATCTTGGCAAATTGCATAGCATTCCTTTTATTGATCTTAGTGGTATTAGAGTGCAAAATTTCACTTACAATTTGGTCTGGAAAATATGGCCTATCTAGTAACCTGATGGCATTGTTGGTGTCACAACTATGAATCCCATAGGAAAGACCCATGACATTAAATGTATAAGGTCTGAAGAATCTGCCACTATCTTTTCTTTGATCTTATTCCTCTTTTTTTGTCTGGTATCTGCTTGTCTCTTTTTTGATCTTTGGTGTTATTTCGATGGCAATGAGTTCATTATTTCTTTATGGACTTTTTCTCTAGTTTGGTTTAAATTTGGATTCTTTCTGTTCTAAAGATTCTACTTTCTGACTTGAATTTCTGGTACTTTTGAAATCTCTCAAAATTTTTTGAATATTTGTCTTGCTTTTGCTCTGTCAGTCCACTTTACAATGGAAGGACTATGACAATGGATCAAATTGCTGCCTTTGTGCACTGACCGGGTATCACTGATCCTCATGCCCCTTAAGGAGGGGCAGTCCACCATTGGCCTTTAGAATGTAAATCAAGGATGATGAATTTCTGC